ACGGTCCTAGCTCCACTAATTCACACAATCAACTGGCACAACAGAGAGCTAGATAGGAAAAATCTTATACTTCAACATCCTCCATAGTGCTACACTACCTCCCTAGGTTGCACATTACTATATAGACTGTCAATTCAAAGCATACTGAGCAGGCAATTTGCAAGTAAACACGTACTTGGAGCCCTCAAATTTAAAATTTTGGACAGTGGACTAGGCTCCAAGCACACAAACAGCCAAACATTCACCCGCATACATAATCGAACATCCCCCCACACTTAAGCACGACCTTGTCCTCAATGGAGGAAAGATAAGGAGGGTAGAACGAAGTTACCAGATCAAGGGTGAATGATGGTGGACGAGGCAGGCGGAGCATTCAAGGAGGAGAGAGTAGTCAGAACACAAACAACACATAAAATCTCACAAAGGTTGAGTTATTGACTCTAAAATCAAATAACAAAACTGACTCAACCGAGGAGAAATAGGGAAAGAAATGCAAACCGACTGGTTGGGTTGCCTCCCAACAAGCGCTTCTTTCACGTCGTGAGCCGGATGATGGTTCCTAAGTTTTGGTCCACCCCAAAACCTCCTTGAAGTTGAGGTTCTCATCGATAAGGTGGAGTCTCAAGTCACGAGCATGTGGTGTGGAAGGTGATGAAGGCTCATGCATTTGATGTAGATGAAGTCTCCACCCTCGAGACCTCTTCTTCTCTCCTCTCGTCTCATTGTCCCAAACTAGATATGACAGCATCGATTTACCACCATCGCATCCACCAAGAGGGACCGATGTCGATGTGGCCTTGGTCTGGCAAAGAGACACTGCAAATGGGTCATTGCCAAGCAGCTCCTCGAAATTCGATGGAGATATCACAAGTAACTCATAGCCGGTGCAAGCCTCTTCCACCTCAACTTCGTCCTCAGCTTGGACGCCAATTGCTTCTGCAACCTCCCTTTCTTCTTCATGTGGTATCACCCCTGGGAAATGATCAAGAACTCCTCCTGCTTCACTTTCGTCATCCTTCACAACTTCTTTCTACACCCTTTCTTGCTCTTCTTGTTCTAGCACGGATTGGAGAGCAAGTTGCCAAGCAATTTCTTTCATGAGATCTTCTTGCATATCCTCACTCATGCCCACCTCTTCAAAGCTCAGTTTGGGATGTGGGAAGGTGTGGTCGGCTACGACAGGACACTCCGGATCATGATCATCACGGGAGCTCTCCGTGACAACTTCAGTGTGCTCCACAATTTCCTTGTAGCCTTCTTCGTCCTCCTCCTCTTCTTGTATGGTAGCAGAAGGGTGATCTGGAGCAGGTTGTGCCAAAGATCGCTCAATATCATCGGCGCTCTTCTTAAGGCTCAGGAGGATCTCCTCTGTTTCACGAAAGGCCTGGACACAATAATCCATCCTGGAGCATGATCTCTCCATGAGAAGCCTCAATTCGTAGTTTGGATCTGGCTGTGGAGTGTAGCATGGCTCTGCAGAATGGCCCGTGAAGGCCACCACGGGTAACTCCAGCGCGGATGGCCCTTCTAGTTGTGGGAGAAATTCTTCTTGGTAATGAGGTTGTTCTTGATATGCCCAGGGTCAGGGTGTTCTCCGTAGTAAGGGGGTTGGTACTGGAACCCGAATCCATAGTCTTCTCCTCCTTGATTGCTCCAGGGAGTCTCGGGGTAATACCACTCGGGTGATGGTGGATACCCCCAATTGTTGGAGAAGCCATGAGGATCCATGATTCAGATCTGCACCAACAAAAACAAAAACACCCAAGTGAAAAGCAAGGGTGGAAAAGAAAAGAAAAACGCTAAAGTAACATTCTTTTGCCTTTCCTAATACTCTAGAAAGTCCCCGTCAACGGCGCCAAAAACTTGACTCGCTATGACACAACTCCTAACAATGGCCAAGTGTAACCAATTAAAGGGACTGCAGTATAGTGGCTCAAGTAATAAATATTGAATCCACGGGTCTCTAGAGTTACTATTACGCAGCTTCAGTTCATTATCTAGCAAACCAGATTAAGATGAAAGAACTAAAACTACTCTAGCAAACTACAGTTAAAGTTAATCTAATTACAGGTTGGGAACTCACTTAGGTATGATTCCCCCTAGCCACTAGCCAGACTAACGATTGATGATTTCTAACTTGTTTCACTTTCATTCACAATGCGGAGAATCCTTGACTAGACCTTGAGTCTCGACTAAAGGAACAAGGCCCTCTTGAGTCAATTGCCTAAAGGGACGTATCCTTCTCTAGAACAGCCGATCAAGGCGTTCTGAACTAGATTCCCTCTATCGAATGAGGTTCTCAATCGATACAAAGCAGTGAATCAACCCTCGCCTAAAGCAATCGATCCATTGCTATCAATCTATGGTGCTCTATTGACCTAATCAGGTATTCTCTCTCATAAGATCAAAGCAGAATCAATAATCTCGACTAAAGCAGAATTGAATCATGAAAACATGCATAGATTGAATATGAACTCAAGATTATCAAGTCAGAGTACTCATACAATCATCCAATCAAACAAACATAGCTAGGGTTCCTCAAAACCTAAGTGAAGCGAAGTTACTCCATCGAGAAGAGAGAGAATGCAGTAAGAATCTTCAGATGATCAGTCTTCAAGTCCGGGCTTGTTCCTCGAGCTTCCAAGGAGAAGAAATCCTCCAATTCCACTCCAAGAATTCCCTCAAATCGTCCTCTCTCTCTTTGGTTCGTCCCTTGGGGGTTTGGGATCCAAAACCCAGCTCTCCCTCCCCTTTGGCTCGAAATTGGCTTAAAAACCCGATTCTAGGCAAAACACTATCGAGGACACGACCATGTTTTGCTTTTGCCCGCCCGTGTTTTGACCTGTGTTAAAAACACGCCCGCGGTCCCGTGCGCGTCGGCCAAAAAACGGTCGTATCTAAATATGGGCACGGCCGTGTTTTGATTTAGGCGCGTCCGTGTTTTTACTGCCGAACCTGTTCCCCTATATTCAATACTTCGTTTCTCCCTCGTCCGGACTCCGAATCAGTCTCTGTTTGATCCCAGACGCTCGTAGTCTCGTCCTCTTTATTTTAATGAAAAGCTTGCATGATTATTTGTCCATAAAGTGAGGTATAAATCCATTCTTCTTCAGGTCATGCCCTAGTTTCTTCTCCCTAATCGCCAATTGATCTCTAATTGACTTGAAACTTGCGCCTATGCTTCACTTTATGTGCTAGGACCTGAAATGTGACAAAGGAACACAACATAGAGTAAAATAGGCCAAAGACGCAATAATTAAAGCTCAAACGATCAAGAAACAAAGGGGAAAACATGTGCAAATATCGAGTCATCACCTAGCCTTCTCTTCAAAGCTCCCAACACCCAAATATAATTTTCCTCTCTCTCGTTAGCCAAGAAAGCACATGCAAATATGCAAGGTAGCGAATGGTGGTTGACACCTAAAAAAGTACAAAATAATTTAAATTATGCAAACTGCTAGGGTTATTTTAGCATGCTCGGGATAATTATATGTGTGAAGGAAAAGTACCTGAAAAAATCATGAGAGGCATCTGGTAAATGTTCCATTTGTAAGTTGCATCGAATGTCAGTAATTCTCCAAAGCATGCATAATCAGCAACAGAAACACTATCGGCCCACAAGATGTTAATAAGCCGGTCGTTGTCATCCTTCTTTAGTTCAATAACGAAGTGATCGTCCGCGCTGCATTTAGCTTGCAGGTAGGCTAGGGCTATTGAGTCATCACCTTCACTGATTTGTTCTTTCCTCTCTTTGTCCACATAATTATATGCATCCTTCCTCGTGTACCCCAAATTGTCGTAGCCTCCTGCTTCTGATACGGCCAGATTCATAATTTGATAAGTTTTCATACCTGCAGCTCTTCTAAAATTTATTGCTGCTTTGACTGCATCACTCATATGATGTTTCCCTTTCATGTAGTGTCTATATTCTCTGGGGATTGTTTCATGTGTGTACATCATCAAACTGGTGCACATACCACTTCCCATCGACCTTGTCTTGTTTAACACGCATCTTGGCTCTGCAGTTAAATCTGGTCTCCCCTCTTGCTTCTCTCTTTCGTTCTGTGCTCTTCATGCGCCTCTTTCCCTCGCCAGAGCATACATAGTCACGCCATATCATAACGTTGTTCTTATCACGACCAATGTCTGATTTTCTGATGTCGAAGCCTTTGACTAACCCGTATTCCATGTAGAAATCATAGGCTTCTTCTGTATCATCGAACTTCATTTTTTTAATATCTTCAGGCTGTAGAAATATGAGATCGGCGATATTATCTTCATGGGTGGTGTGACTGGCTCCGGCACCATCGTTTTCTTGGACTAACTCCGACGCCAATAGTAGGACTTCCTCCGACGTCAATGGTGGGTCTGCCTCCGACGTCATTGTCACTGCTGGAAATTTTGGGGAACCAAGGATGTAGATTACAAAACCCTACTGTGAATGATGACCGAATTAATGCTTGAATGGGCAACTTAATAATTATCCCCATTAATAACACGATTTGTGATATCTTATTTTTTTTGGTAGGAACGAGTTGAACTTTCTATTCTTTATCTTAGTGATTTCTTTACCATTTTCAGAAATAACGAAAATATTTAAAATGAAAAGGAATGCTTAGTAAAGCCAAACGTCAGCAGACTCTAGTTTTGTACTACATGTATGGGGAAGGATCAAATATTAATATAAGCGAATATTTACTAATAGCACTCAATTTTTTATTCAATCGAAAAAAAATATTTTTAATTTTAGGTATAATAACTACCGATGTTTATCCCAAGTTCATGTACCTTAGACTAAACCCTAACTATTTTTCCGTGGGAAAATATGCCGCCACATTTTATCCTAACTTTGTATATATAATTAATCTTCATCGGTAGAGCAGTGGTTCCATATCCTTCTTTGACGCAATTTTGAATACAGACTAAAGCTTAGAGGCACAACATGGAAAATAGAAGAATTACTCGCTCTTCGTCCAAGCTTGTGGTATGTCTAATAGATCTTTAACCATTGAAATTCATTCTAGTTAATTTATTAATCGTAGGTTCACTATCATTGAAGGAGACCTCCGAATTTGTGACTCCAACAAAGAAACCAAGGCTACCCAAAGGTGTAAGCACTCCATCCACTCCTGCTTCAGTCATTGTTTTTATTTCGGACGATGAATCTGACTCTGAGGTAACACCAAAGAAGCCAAATGGAAAAAGTATTTCTCTAAGTTATGTTGACAAGGTAATAAAGCTGTCATGTTTACCATTGAAGTGTTCTTTACCGTTATTCTGTCAGACATAACGAATGCATTTCGACTCGTGGTTATTTGTGGTCCCTATTCCAGGTTGTTTTGAAGTTTAAGCTACCTACTGGTATGGAATACGATGATGAGCAAATCCAGCTTGCTCACTATATATTTTTAGCCAATCTGCCACCTGACGAAGTATTGGTTAAAACCTCAAACAACTCTTGTACCAGGAAGTCATTGTGGTCCTTAAGCCCTCGATCATTCGTAGATGCTGAAGTAATCAACGAAACTCCAAAATTTTGTTTTGTTTGTCCACTATCAATGCTTTCTACGTAGAATTATTTTATAACAAATCTATAGTATCATGAAGTGTTTTTTGTCCATGTTATATTAGGTTATAACAGCGGTGGTCTGCCACTTGACTCTAGAAGAGTTGTGGACAAATTCTAAGGACGGAAAAGGAGTGTGCTATCTGCCTGCTGAACTACAGGTTGTGGTCCGATTATGCTTAAGATTAATTTCCTCTCACCAAAAAAAAAATACAACACATGTTTTTTTAACGTGAATGATATTGTGTTGACAAAATTTCAATTGTGCAACTACCACATGGGCAGGAACTAGTGATTTCATGTGGAATAACACCCAAGAGGGCATTAGACCTATACGAACCAAAATTTCTTAGTCGAACCAATATGGTGAATAAGGTAAATTGTTCGTCTTAATAAGTATTACATGGTTTGCAGTTTATTTTTTTTAATACTTGTTGACAATTTCCGCATATGTTGGTGTGTATTCCGATGAGAGATAATGTCCATTGGTACTTGGCTTTCATTAAGTTGGACAAGGAAGAAGTCCATATCTTGGATCCACAACCAAATGAAGACCGCAATTCCTTTCGACTAGAATTTGTTCAAACAATGGTAAATTTGTGACATTGTGTCGTTATAACGCAAAAAAATGTAAATACCTCTTTCTAAGTACAAACGTTTCTTAAGTTGTACAGATGAGATTTATGCAAGCCTTGTGGAAGATTCTCTATCGTGAACAAGGTCCGGGATTGTCGCCACAAAGGATTGCGGAGTTTTCGTACACAAATCCTTCAAAGGATCAAGAACAACTTCATCGGTAAGTATGCCCATTTTGTGTTATATTAAACGACGACTTATCAACTTGTTTATCATGCAACGCTTTCATTTTATGTAGGTCTGACAGTGGAGTCTGGGTCTGCATGTGGATGTATAGCGCAAGTTGGGACTCCTCTTATATTTGGGTAAAGACAATTCTAGTTCACATATTAGAAAACCACACTTGATTGTTATTTTTGAATCATGCGTTAAGCACCATGTTTGTTGATGTTGATATCCATGCACTGAAGTGAGGAGTAGGGGTGGGCATTCGGTCAGTTCGGTTTGAACCGAACTGAACAGACGTTTACCGAATCCCCGAAGTAGCTCATGGAGTGAACTGAGTTCGAACCGAAATATATTTCGGTTCGGTTCAGCCGAACCGAAATATATCCTGGTTCGGTTGGGTTTGTAGACTCTGCCCGATTTTTTTTTTTTTTAAAGAAAGTGTGCCTGTCGCGTCTCTCTCCCTCCCCACTTACCCCCTCTTTCCCCACTTACCTTTTTCCCCACCCACCATTTCTAATTCTACAGAACGAGAACCAATTCTCTTTCTTCTTCTTCTCCTCCTCCTCCTCCTCCTCTCTCTCTCTCTCTTCTTCTTCTCTCCTAAGATCACAAAGCAGCGCCCGCCGCCCAGCGGTTAGTTTTCCTCCCGTCTCCGGCGATTGACGGAGGGAAGAACTCAGGGGCAGGTGGCTGGCGACAGCGATTGAAGGAGAAAACGACCCAGCGGCAACGGCGACAATGAGCGGCGGCGGCAAGAGGAAGAAAAGATCGCTCGGCGTGTGGAGACGGGGCGGGCATAGCTGGCGGCAGGGGAGGCGGTGGTCCAATCCCGTCGACGGCAGCGGCAATGGAGGGAGTCAGATCTAGAATTGGGTAAGATCTTTTCGACATGCATGTGGGTTCCTCGTTTGATTATCAGTACTGATTTTGATGTATGTGGGTTTTAGGTTTGGATTTGGGTTTTTGGTATCAAGTTTCAGGTCAGGGAGCTCATCCATGGAAGAAGGCTACCGGCGGCGGCGGCGGCTGAGTATCTTTTGTTGGTTGGTTAGATTTAGGCTAAGGGAGTTAGGGTTGGGGGAGAGTTTGGGCTTTGTATTTGTGTATGAACTGGGCTGTGTATGGACTGGGTTGGGTTTTGGTTGGGCTTTGGTGTTTGGGTTGGGGAGATTGTGAGTAGAATTTCGGTTGGTCGGTTCGAAATTCGGGAACTCGGTTCGGTCGTTACAACCTTGATTTCCGAATTAGGTCAATTCCTCTTCCGATTTCCGAACCGAACAACACTTTTTCGGTTTCGGTTCGGTAGAAACTCGGTTCGCTCCGGTTTGGTTTGGGTTTACCGAACCGGATGCCCACCCCTAGTGAGGAGGATGCAGATCGCTTTGTACCTTGTTCGAGAACCCATGAACTACATAAGGCATATGGTGCTCACTGAAGCAAGAACAGTTGCACCTCAAGTTGAAGCTGCAGTCGAAGAGTACAAGAAAGCCCATGAAAGGAGGAAAAGGGAAAGAGAAGAGCACAAGGAAACTCAGTCAAAGAGCCCAAGGACAACCTGATTTTGCGTTTTTTTTTCAAGATGATGGACAACCGTTTTTGGTTTGGTTTGGTGAATGCTTTCTATATTTGGTTTTTGGTTTGGTTTGGTTTGGTGAATACTTTCTATATTTGGTTTTTGGTTTGGTTTGGTTTGGTTTGGTTTGGTTTGTTTTTTCGTGGAAACTATATTGACTTTTCGGACAGCCATCCCTTTCGAATCGAGTCTCAAAGTATCTAGCTTTAACCTGGCTACTACCTTAGCCAACAAGTGGCAATTTCCAGCTTTCCAGTTACACTTTTGCACAACCTGAAAAGGGACCTTCTGGACTTGATCTCCAGCTTCCAAGTAATCCCGGGTGTTCACAAATATCCCAGGTTCAATACAAATCAATAAAATATCATTTTCATCGAGCCATGCGTGACGAATAGGCTTCCAAAGTGAGCTACCCGAAATGGCAAAGGGACTTGTGAGTGAGGTTGCTTCTGTTCAAGCCATTGTATCTTGTAGAGAGGTTTAATTGAGATCATATCATTCCACTTCGTTCCCAATTGCCCTCGTCTAATTAAATTTGCATTCATGTATAGTTAACCCAAAAAGTAAAACTGGTTGGCTCCCAATCAGCATAATTAATGACCAAACCCCGTACAAGGCAGATAGAAAATTCTTAGGTAATTAATTTAATGTTCCTAGGATATGGAAAGGCTTCCATTCCTTGAATTTCCACCAACGATGTATGCACTCCCCTTTTAGTGAGAGAATTCATTGTATTAATAAATACAATAAAAAGGCTTACATAATTAATGGATTCTTTATTGCGTATAATTAAAAGGGTATTTTACTATAACCAAAGCATGATAGATTCACCGGGGAATAAAAGAAGCATGAGTTTTGATGAAAAAGCATGATCTCCAGCTTCCAAGTAATCCCTGGTGTTCACAAATATCCCAGATTCAATACAAATCAATAAAATCTCATTTTTATCGAGCCATGCGTGACGAATAGGCTTCCAAAGTGAGCTACCCAAAATGGCAAAGGGACTTGACAAAAATTCCAGCTTCCAACTTGTGAGTGAGGTTGCTTCTGTTCAAGCCATTGTATCTTGTAGAGAGGTTTAATAAAGATCATATTATTCCACTTCGTTCCCAATTGCCCTCGTCTAATTAAATTTGCATTCATGTATAGTTAACCCAAAAAGTAAAACTGATTGACTCCCAATCAGCATAATTAATGACCAAACCCCGTACAAGGCAGATAGAAAATTCTTATGTAATTAATTTAATGTTCCTAGGATATGGAAAGGCTTCCATTCCTTGAACTTCCACCAACGATGTATGCACTCCCCTTTTAGTGAGAGAATTCATTGTATTAATAAATACAATACAATAAAAAGGCATACATAATTAATGGATTCTTTATTGTGTATAATTAAAAGGGTATTTTACTATAAACAAAGCATGATAGATTCACCGGGGGAATAAAAGAAGCATGAGTCTTGATGAAAAAGGGGAAAAATCACCATAGATAAAAATTCATTATAATCAAGGCATATCCATACTATTCACGCCTATCATCGTCACTATACTTGTGACCAAATATAAATAAAACCATAATTTTAGAAAATCATTAAAAAATAAAGATGAAATAAGTAACACATTCTTCGACCTAATTGGAACTGCTTAGAACAAAAGCGGATTAAAATCTCCCCCAACGAAATTCATTTGCAATTTCATAGGTAGTCCCTACTTCCACTTCTATAATTTTGAGAAAACATCACTTCTCAACAACAATGAAAGTCAATTGCAATTTCATCAATAGTCCCCAGTCGTGGGCCCATTTCAATTGCAAGCAAATTTGCACACCAAGCAAATTTGAACACTTGCAATGGCACCCCACATCAATGCAATTCAAAGTTGCAATTGCAACTTATTGCCACATCAGCTTGCAAGTCACTATAATTGCACCATTGGAGATGCTCTTATGTAAATTTGCACCCTTGCAATAGCTTCTCACATCATAGCAATTTAAAGATGCAATTGCACCTCCTTGCCATATCATCTTGCAAGTCACAAAAATTGCACCATTGGAGATGACCATTACTGCATCTCGTCACCTGTCTTAGGGAACTTAGCCATGGCAAATTCAAAAAATACTGCATGCATAGAAAAATATTGGTCTGGACAATTCAAAAAATATGAGACTTTCCTAGTCAGATGATGTACTGGATCCCCTCAGTACCTGACAGTTTTGAGTGCTGGAGAATTAAGGAAAAGCCAAAAGACTGGAAAAAAAAACCCAACAAAGACTTAGGAAACTTGTTAACAGAAGACATCCATTGCTGGCCCCTTTGCTGCTCCAACGCTCCACCCCGCCCTGCATCAATCGACTCTCATGTAAGCCGAGGACGTTTGCTTGAGGAGGCCTCAGGGGTCTCTTGATGCTCCGTATGCCGATTCTCAATAAAATTATTGGTCAATTCGACTATACGGTACACCGGCAAATAAGCTGATCCTCCTTAACATAAACCCCCATATCCATCCCAACCCTTTCAAGAAAGGTGGTCACGAAGGTGGCATAGGGAAAGGCAGTGTACCAGTTTTCCCCTTTAGGAGCAGCCTCAACCATGTTCAGGCACATGAGAGATGCGAGGTTAACAGGAACACCTCTTTGAGCTTGCACAAGGATAAACAAGTCAAGTTTACGAATAATCGAATGACCACGGTACCTTGGCAGGAAGCAGTTGACGATCTTCCAGTGGAGGAATCGAAGAGGACCTGGGAGGAAAGAAGCCTGGATGCGCCCCCTTCGTGAGTTTTTCTAGTTCAACTTTAAACTCAAAATCGTACAGCCGCCCAAGATCGCTTCTGCTCTCAATGGGGTGTTCTCCGGCGGGAAGATCCAGATCTCAGCAAACTTATGAGGCTGGAAGCAGACTCTATGTCCCATGAAGATCGACACGAGATGAGAATCACAGGGACCAGAAAGCTGTAAATTGTGGTAGAACTTCCTCACCACATGGGGGCAGTAGCTGGTGCTTCTTCGACTCCGGAGATCAAGAACTTTTCCCAACCAAGATTTTTTTTATTAACGTCTTCACTTCTGGAGGGAAAGGACTTAGGTGGATGAACTCGTACTCGGCCACAATTGTTGTTTTGCTTGTAAATGAAAGATAGTCACCGAGACTGGCGGTGGATCGGCAGTCTTCATTTGATAGAGATAGTATCCCCATTCCCGCAAACGATTTACCTTTGTTTGCCATGGAGTCTAGAGGAAGAAGGAACAAGAGGAAGGTGAAGATGGAGGAAAGAGAGAATGTAGGTGTAAGAAAAAGTGATTGTGGGGGTTGAGTCTAGAGACGTGAGTGTGTTGGTGACGGTTGAGTCTGGAATGTCAAGAGTTAGAAGATTTCGGAAGATATGTAATGATGATGATGGTAACTCGTGTAGGTTAAACTAGGGTAAGTAAAGCTAGTTAAACTAGGGTTGGCGCACGAATTGATACGACATGAGAAATGAAATGGGCTCGCACGTTCCAGGCCCACTTTTGAATATTGCATGGATCATGTACAAGCCCACTTTTGAATGTTATTTAAAAGCCTGTAAAAATCAATGATCAGACCCAGTCCAACTAGAATCAGTCCTAAACGCACCGTTAATACATAAACACAAATTAAGGAGACCCCTCCATCCGATTAGAATCAAATTATGTCTTCTTCATCTCCTTCCTCAATCCTCTGGACGAGACGAACACTACATATCAGGAAACCTTAATTTCACCGAGTGATAGAAGTTTCGAGAAAATGAATATAACGCTAAGACAAGATGACAAAGCACTAGAGACATGAACCCTAGGGTTAGCAAACATCTTTTAAGGGTTCTTTTGCAAATGAAAAGTTTGATGAACACAATAATAGACATGGTCGCTGTAATCATGTTAGAAAGAGATAGGCGAGGGGAATAAAATGGGGAAGAACAAACAAGACAAAATAAATTGGGAAATTCAATCTACGTCGAATGTGGATGCAAGTAATTGGGATTCAAAAAGATGGTTAAGTTGGGGAGTTCAAATTGGATGGGGAGCTTCTCTTGGAACTGTGAAGGGGCGCCCCTCCAAGACGGGAGAGGGATCGTGTAATTGGTTAGGGAGACTGGAAATTGGTTCGGGCGGCAGTGGGTCTACCCAATTGGGTTTGCAGTCTTAATCCATTTAATTTAATCGGGACAGTTAGTTGGACTAGGATGAAAACAAACTTAACGCGGCAGGAGGCTTTTTGTAATTTGTTTAGTTATTTAGTGGCGCAGTTAGGTTTAACAAAAGTGAGCCGTGGAGATTGAAAATGAATGGTTAAGATCGGCCAAGGTACTCGTACCCTGATTTTTCCTTGGGCACCGTAGAAGTCACCATATATATATATTCATAAGTGATTAGTTTTCTCAAATTAAAGCATCACCAACCGGATATGTTGTTTTTGGGATTTAGCATTGACGGAAGAGAATTGATTGTGTAATACGAAATCAATAAAAAAATGTATATATACAATGGATAACAGTTGCAATCTTTGAAAGGATACAAAAATTGATTGGGAAATGAAAATGGAAAATTAAATGCAACAAAGAAGCGATAATGATTAACTGACCAAAATTTTCTAAAATAATATATTTATAACTGATCAGTACATAAATTTAAATAACTAATCACATGCTAAATTACATGTTTGGTCACCAAAAGTACATGAATCTTTCACGTTTGCCACTTGAATTACTTTTCTTTCTTACGCCACGAACTTTACGAATCGTTTCACCTTTAGTCACCGACAGTCAATTTCCGTTAAATTTCGTTAACTCCGTCAGTTTTCTGAGTAAGTGGCAAACAGAACTGCTGACTGAACTGGTAACTTAATGACATGTCAATTAAATAAAAATAATAATAATAATAATAATAATAATAATAATAATAATAACTAACAAGAAGGGAAGGTTATTACTGTCCCTAACTCTCCCACAAATATGCTATTTCCCCAAGCCATTGGCAGCGATGGAGCCTAGCAGAAGAAAAGTAATCGGCTCCAGCTCTTCCCTCAACAAAGTAGAGACCGCTGATCTCCTCATCAAATTATTATTTGCCTGCCGGAGACGTCCAATACAATCCTTCTGCAAGGGTCGGAACTCTGTAATCTTTGCTCCTTATTTCTCCCGTCGTCTGGCTTCTCACCACCGGAGCCTATTTGCTGCCGCCAATGAATTCGAGAAGCCTGTACTGATGCTTCCGGTGAAGATCTTGGCAGCGGAAGGGGGATCAGTAGTGGCGATTTCTTGATTGAAGGCTTTGTTTACAAAGGCTAGATCGATGGGGCTCCCGTCGTCTGGCTTCTCACCACCGGAGCCTATTTGCTGCCGCCAATGAATCCGAGAAGCCTGTTCTGATGCTTCCGGTGAAGATCTTGGCAGCGGAAGGGGGATCAGTAGTGGCGATTTCTTGATTGAAGGCTTTGTTTACAAAGGCTAGATCGATGGGGTTCCCTTCGTCGATTTCGAATCCGACGAACCACCTTCTACCTTTCCGCCGTCGCCGCAAGCCGCTTTCCCACCGTTTCCTGGCTTCCCTTCGTCGGCGCCGCCTCCGATGAACCACCTTCCTTTTCTGCCCTTCGCCGTCACTGCTAGCCGCTTCCAGTTTCACAGATCTAGAATAACCCAGCAAAAAGAAGCCATCGACATGGGTTTTCAATTTTGGGCTCCCACTAGATTTCTCGAACCCTCTTTGTTTCTCTTTGCCCAGTTCTGTTCACGCCCAGAAAGCCAGCGACGGAGAGTGGATTGAAGAAGTCGCGGAGCCGTTACTCTTGTTGGTGTCAACGACCCTGAAGAGGGAGATCTGAGAGTCGGCATTGAAGGTTTTTCGTCTTCCTCTTCCTCGTCGTCATCCTCGACTTCTCCATCCTCTAATTCTCAATAATTCGTCGCCTTCATCTCAATTCTCTGCTTCTTCTTTGTCCACATCGGCTCCGCCACTCCGTAATTTGGCATCCATTTGTTCTTGTACGTCTCCGAGAAGTTGGGTGCAGGGAAGGGTTCCGATCAGCGAGATTTGGGAGATAATCTTGTTTTGAACGAGGAAGAAAGACAGAATGGTTAGCTCTGGCCGGTGCTAATTATTAATTTATTTTTAAATTACATGTCATTAAGTTAACGGTCTAGTCAGCATTTATGTTCGCCACATCATCAAAAAATTGACGGAGTTAACAGAGATTGACGGGCGATGACTAGGGGTGTTCAAACGGTGTGGTTACCATGGTAACCGTTTTAACCAATACTATTTGGATAATTGGTTTGGTAAATTTGGATAATTGGTTTTGTTTGGTTAAAGTTTTTAGCTTGTTTGGTTTGGTTTCAGACACTCCTAACCAGTCAAACCAAATTAACCAGATAAATAATTAGTCATATATCTAATATATACACATACTTAATACTTTGAATTACCACTCAAGAGTTAAACGTTCATCCCTTTTAGACTCATAAAATATAAAGCTTGATACTGTTCCTATAATGTATATTTGTATATGTAGAGTGTAGACCACAACAGATAGGGGTGTTCTCACTTATTGATAATGTGATTTTATATTGGTTAATCTGGTTAACCAATTAACCAAACCAATTAAACTTTAATTTGGTTAATTTGGTTATTGTATTAGTTTAGACGGTTTGGTTATGATATTGTATTCCATGGTTAATGAAATTTAGCCTTATTTGGTTTGGTAATAACCATGGTAACCATTTGAACACCCTACCAATGACTAATGGTTAAACGATTCGTAAAGTTAGTGTCGAATAAGAAAGAAAAGTAATTTAAGTGGCAAACATGAAATATTTATGTAATTTGAGTGACCAAACATGTAATTTAGCCATTAATCACACAAGTGCAAGTACTAGCTGGGTAACTAAGTTCATGTACTAAACAGAAACTTACATATTAATAATGTAATCATCAAATCTTAGACGTCCAAGTTTAACGATGATCATGAATATGATTTCCTCTACGTCCTCCGTCCTTATCAATCACTGTTATTATTACCAGCCACCATTATTACCCGCATAACTACTCTATATATTATACCCAACTCCTACTGCAACCCGTCTCCCTAACAGTCGTCCCTCCTTCCTTCCTGGCTCCCTCCCTCCACCCAACCCCACGTGACACCTACCAACATCGTATCTCCCTCGCCGTCCCTCCTCCCTCTCAACTGCCCTCTTGTCGCACCACCCCACAAACCCCTGCATCTCCCTCCTCCCCTCCCTCCCTTCCTCGTAGCAATGGCAATGGGGCGGGTATCATGATACACATTCCTACCCCGTGACAGATTGAGTTCAGGTCGGGTAATTTATCATGGATCACGGGTCGGATCAGATCATCCCAATGGGTATACAATTTTATTGGAAAACATTAGAAATATTTGTTGATTTCATTATAAGACCAAGAAAACAAACCATATTATGATAAATGTAGTTAAATTATTGTAACAAAAGGGAATTTACAACTTTGTTATAGCTAAAATATGATGTAATAAAAGGGAATTTCTAAGGAATTTAGTAACACCCTAACCCGGCCGGGTACTACTTTTACTAAAATGCCCATGAAAAATAAAATACTCAAATCTTAAATTGTAGCGGGAAAAATTTTCATAAATAAAATACTACAAACACACACTTGTAGTTCAAAGAAACGCCCTAACACGTGGGCAAATTAAACTTAATCTTTAAAATCTCAATCTAATCTCCAGTCTATACTCATAATCATAAATGTAAATAACTAATAATCTCCAATATTGTTGCTACTGAAAACCTTGACTAAACATCCTCTGTGACGCTTATACTGCCCTCCTCTAGCTGGCTGCCCTCGAACTCGCTGCTCACTAACTGCTCATCTAGCTCCTCCTCTAGCTCTTCGACTGGTGGGTGAAATGGGGTCAGTCTACGCCCTTATGTTTAACATCTTATAAATACTTGATCACTTTACTTAACTTAGTGGAAGTTGTTTTGTACTTCCACTATTAAAAATCTTAACTCTTAAAAACTGTGCTCTTAAAGCACAAATCTCCACTTTTATTCTTTACTGACACTGGGATCCCTCCCTAGCTAGTCCGTTTGCCCAATTCATACGTATGAGAAGCCATCACGGCTTTCTTTAACTTATACTTTTCGTGGAAGGCTCTTCTTCCACGATTCTCAAGAGCATAACTGATGCTCATCTTAAAAGTCTCAAGAGCATAACTGCTGCTCAACTTAAATATCTCAAGAGCATAACTACTGCTCATGTTAAAAGTCTCAAGAGCATAACTGCTGCTCTATCTCAAAATCTCAAATGTCAACGGACTGGCGCTAGTGACTAAAAACACTTAAAACTATTTCACCTTCTTGAAGGTGAAGAACTTCTTAAAGGAAACTTGTTTCTCAAACTTAAACTTGCTTGTAAGTAAAGCACGCAACAACATAAAACTGAAAGCATAACTCACACAAATCATATGACATCATATAAGCATACAAAGGCAAGTACGGCTCATAGCAATCAATCTCAAAAACTGAAATACCGTAAGGCGTAGAATTTACCCCCTTTTACACTCACCTCGTTGATGAAACGACTTAGATTGTTCCGACGAGAAACCATGATTCCTACCATTAGTGGTCTGATATTTCAATCAATCCATCAGAATTCTCTTGCTATCATCCATCTCATAAAATATAACCTCTACACCCTCACCATAACCAAATTAAGTCAAGCCTCTCTTTCCTCTTCCAAATTCATCCATAAACACTAAATATTTCCACACCAACAAAAACCAAATCACACGTTTCCATCAACGGGTAATCCACCTCACCTCCAAAACTATTGGAACCAAAAACCTTTCCCATCACCGTTCCACAATGACGGAAGCAATAATTATCATCAATTCAATAGAGAGAGTCTGTACATACCTCCTTTTGTCCATTGCATCGACCAACAACTGCTACTGCTCCCTCCATAATTTGCCAGCAACTCCTAAACCTCCTGGATTGTTGTTGATTCGTCTTCGTTGATATGGCCCGACGGTTGCTTACTTACTTGCATCGATCACTAATCCCATTTTGATTGGTATGTCCACAACTAATCATGTGATCATTATTAGCCACTTTCTTTAATTGGCAACTCACAGCAAGCTCCTACGTCATTGTTCAAAATTCAAATATAACCAATTCTTAACACCAATGTTTCATTCCCTTTGTCATCGTCGTCATCACTAGGGGGATCACAAGGACAAGTCGCATCGAAGAAGCCTTGACCCTTCTCCCAATCAGCACCGCCTGGAAGACTTCATCATAATCGCTCGGAGCTCCCTAACCTTGCCGCTGACGCTCTGTGATGGAGCTAAAGAAGAATGATGTGTGGCGGAGGTGGGTTTTTTCCCGTGAGTGAAGGGGCGAGAGGGAGATAGAGAGGGTTTGGCTAGCGGCTGCCTGGGATTAGTTTTATGGTGAGTCACTTGTGTGCCCTTTTATTTCTTCTCATGCGATATATATATGAAATGGAGTGGACGAGTATGGGGACCGGTTGGGTTAGGTTTAGGGTTTCAAGGGTATTTTGAAAACTTCACAATTACGGTTGAGTTTGACCCGAAACTCAGATTACGTACATAACTTACTTATTTTATGTCAAAACTCGACACTGTTTGAATCGATAGTTCACATTTTTAATCCTCATCGATATTACGGTGAAACTTGACAACTTGACTCAAGGGTATAATAATCATTTTGACTTTTAGGGAGAGCGGGGTATTACATTTCCTCCACCCTTATAAAAATTGTCCCCGAAATTTGATCGGACTCATACTTCCATTCTCCTCATTCTTGTGCTTCCTTAGCTCAAGAATTCACTTTTGCTATATGAACTTCAGTGATGTCCTTTGCTTGTCCAGTATAGTCTTTCTCACTTCTTATATTTCTTCTTCACCATAAAAGGTATTCTCCCAAGCTCGTTCTCATCGAGTAACTTTGAGTGGCTACTTGCCCTTTTTAAATTTTCCAACTTGGGTCCAGGGTGTGATGGGATAAAATTTCGGCTCAATTTATTGCTAATACTGATTTGGTACTTGATGTTGAACCTAAATCTAAGTCTACGTATCACATTTCCTCCCCGCTTATACAAATTTCGCCCTCGAAATTTGTTCACAGTGATTACCCTAATCCTTTTCACTTCGAGGATTTGTATTTCCTTTAACTTATACGACATGACCTAAACATCCTTCTCTCCACTCCATGCACTTCAATGTTGTTGTGGCTTTTTAACCCCTAACGTCACCTAGACTGCACCTTGTACATATGTCAGAACGGTAACTATCCATTATTCGATACAAGAGAAGTTAATGCCCCTCTCCAACCCCAAGGTCATTGATGGCAGCTTATCCTCCATCTAGTCAGATGGTAAAACTCTTTTAACGTAACTCTTGTCTAGGGTTGACCTCATAGGTCACCTAGATCTTTGTATCTCCTAACTTTGCATCTTACTTTCTTCCTTGATGCCTCGTCTTATCCTTTAACCATAATCTGAGTGGTCATGTCCTCGTTACTTCCTGCTTAACCTCGAAACCTCATACTACTGCTTTTACTTCCTGTATGCATTAAAGGCATCCTTTGCATCTTTCTCTAGCTTGCTAGCAACTTTATGACTCCCTTCAAAAGTCATGACCTTCCCTTTGGCTTAATTGTTCACTCCTAGCGCCTAACTTAGCACTTCCTTATCGCCGCCTGAATTTGAAGTTCTCTACTATCCATTCCGCTACTCTTAGACCCTAACTGAAATTCCTCGTACAATTTCCCCGTCCAATAGAGTTTTACCTGAGAGATTGACACCTTTCACCAGCATAGGCGATCTTGGTTTCACTTTGTGGTATTTTAGCAGGTTCTCTAAACCTATAGCCCTCTTACTTCATTACTCGTGGCTCTTCTTCTTGATGTTCATTTCTCGGTTTAGGTGTCCCTTGTTCGTGACATAGTCCTCTAGGTTCCTATATCCTCTTATCACTTATGTACTTTGCCCTATAAGGTTTACCCTTCGACTATTCTTGACGGCCTTGATTACACCTTAAAATTGGTCTAAATTTCTTGATGGACTTCCTATCGATCACTTGTTCTCTTTTAGTAATCAACCTAATGCTTTCTGTAGTCTTCTGTGTTCTTGTTTTGACATTTCCTAACCATTTTCCTCCATGCACCCTCCTTGAACCTGAGTCACTTACACATATTCACACTCCTATATCAATAACTTCCATGTCCTTCCTTGACTTTATACACTCTATGATATCTCTAATGCCACTTCATAGTTATGGCCTTACGGCTTCCCAAAGTCCACTACTACTTCTAGATTACTTACCAATCATTAAGCGATTTTAGCGATAAATTCGCACAAAGAAACTTGCAAATCCCACCTGAGACTTGACCAATTAACTTCTTGAAATCTCGTCAAACTTCCTCTAGCCTTCTTGCTCTTTCCTATTATTGTATGCAAACTCTCTTTATTACGACTGTTGAGACTCTTCCTCGAATTCTCTAACATTTATTAGAACTTCCAATAAACGTTCTACTTGTTTGTATATAGAAGGAGGAATCTCTGTAATAAGTTGGAACTAGAGGGCTAAGAACTAGAATCTCAGTTGGTTGAATGAATTACTCCTACCGCTGGTTCCGAGATTCTAGTTCTTAGACCTCTAGTTCCAACTTA